GCAGATAATCAAGCCAGAAGGAGAGCAACCCCATCAAATGTCTTTGAGCTGCATACTTGGCTTCCTCTTGTGCAGTCTCTGCAGTGGGGCCAGCTCAGCTCTCATAGTGTAGACCAGAGATTCCCAAAGTAGTTTGGTTCATGGTATCTGTCTCAGTCACTTTCCCATCGCTGGGACAAAATATCCAACATCTAGTTTATTTCGACTCATGGTCTCAGTCCATGGTCAGCCGTCTCCAAGCAAAAAATAGAATGGCAGAGTGTCATGGCAAAAGGAAAGGTACTTGACCCATGGAGTCCAGGAAGCAGAGAAAGAAAAGAGCAGCCAGGGAAGGAGACACGCTCTTCCAAGCCACATCCCTTGCAGCTCCTCTCTTCCAACCAGGCCCCACCTCCTAACAGCACATTCAGCTCTGAACTCATCAGTGGGTTCATTCAAAAGTCATACCACTGAATACATGAGCCTTTTAGGGGACATGCTAGATTTAAATCATAGTAGTACCTTAATGTTTTAGTTACTTTTCTCATTTTTGGGACAAATTACCTGGCACCCAAAGCTAAAGGAGGAAAGGCTTATTTGGCTCACAGTTTGTAGAGGTTTTAGTTCATAGTCAGCTAGCCCCAAGGCAGGGTGTCATGAGAGAGGGGCATTGCAGAGAACAGTCCATGGAAAAGCATGGCAGGCAGAGGGCAGCAAGCAGCAAGTGACAATTAACTAGCAGCAACACTCTGTCCCTAATATCTTATCCAAGCTACTCACCCTCAGGGCAGGTGGCTCTCATATCCAAGGATGGGCAGCCTTAATCCTAGCATCACACCATGAATCAATCCCAGAAGCACATCCTTGATCCCAGAAGCACTCACCCTAGATCCAGCCATCTGAAAAGCCCCACCTACGACTACATGAGGCTTTGGGGGACATCTAGATACAAACCATAACAACATCTACAGTAGTAATTCTATCTCAAAGCTCCAAGGCCAAGAACAACAGACAGTTTAGATCCAAATATCTTAATACTATTTGTACATCCTACAGGCTTAGTAGCCATTTGAAAAAAAATAACATATCCAAACTGAAAGTAAACATTTTTATTTTATTCTTAAATTAACAGAATTGTGAACACTCCTGGCTTACACAGTTTTGACTTAACATTTACTATACTCTGCATTCACTGGAAAGTCAACTTTGGATTTTCAAGTTTTGATCTTTTCTTGGGCTGGCCATGTGTGGTATAATACATTTTCACGGTGTTAGGCAGTGGCAGAGAACTGTCACTTGCAGTCAGCTGTGTGATCAGGGAGGGAAACAACCAATACTGTGCAATGTTTTGTGTTGCTAAGCTAGGATGCTCAGGAGGCCAGGCACACTGAATACACATTCGACTAGTGATAGTTTTAACTTATGGTGGATTCATTAGGATGTGACCTCATTGTAAGTCAAGGAGCACCTGTACTTATGGGAGGTGGGCACCTGTTGGCCACTGCATAACTTCAACCTTCTCAAACTCCCCTCATTATCTGTTCTACATTGATTTGTGCTTTTGCATTGAATTTGCTTTGTATCATAACTACTGCAGGAAACCCACTATCAAAAGAGACGTCATTAAAAGAAATGTAGCTCCATTTAAAGTGGAACTGGGAATGATCTCCAGCCAGTAGTTCTCACAGTGCCCGATGGAGGAGGCTGAGATGCTCCACAGGGGTTTGCTGCAGTTCCCTGGGGCACCTTGGCATACAGACTGGTTAGAGAGTGGGCTGGTCTGGAATCGTGACACTTATAACCTTGTTTCTATGGGAGCATTGGCTCATACATCTACCCAGCTAAGCTACAGATGAATGTATGGAGCACAGCTGGTTTGTTACTTGGATCACTGCTGGCACTGCCCGTCCTCGTGACTACACAAACGAGGAGGTTGAGTGCTTAAATAAATGAACCCAAAGATGAACCAAAGCTTAACTATGCCTGTGATTCTCCCCTCACACTAACCTTTCCCTGAGCGAGCAAAATTGCCCTTTCCCCCTTCTTGCTTGCTGTTTCTTCAGTTAGAAAAGAAACAGTGTGAAGCAACCAGTGAAAGACTCAAAGGAGGCAGCAGAGTCAGCAACAGGGTGCTTGGGGCCTCGCTGTCCATTCAGGATGGAAAAGGAGTAACGCTGCATGCCAACCTCCATATTTAGCGGCGTCAAATAGCACACTCAGCTAGTGTCCAGGAACCAATGTTCTCTCTGAGTAATCGCCAAGGCCGGCGTGTTAGGCCTATAATCTTGCTATTTTTAGCTTTTAATAAAGGAAGAAAGGATTTCATCGGTACCCAGTTCCAACAAGCTTTTGAAGAGCCAAGAATGAAGCAAGACAGCCATTCGTGCTCAGTGTCCACAGAGAAAACACAAGACGAGACAGATGTTCAACTAAAGTACCCACAATCAGGCGAGACCAGGCGTGGCTTTACCATTCCAGGTAGTAGGCTGGACCAGGTCACTCAAGTTGTATGAGCCACAAGTCTCCTGTGTGCCCCACCACCCCCACGCAATAGTAGGGATTGAACCCAGGAAGAGTCGGGCTAAATCCCCAGTTTTTTCTGTTTTACTTGGAGACGTGGTCTTGCTAAGTTACCCAGGCTGGCCTAGAACTTGCAATCCTCCTGCCTGAGCCTTCAGAATAGCCAGGCTTACAGGTATTAGCCACCATGCCTGGCGATAGCCACAGTTTTATCATTTGTAAAATAAGGCAATAATAACCCTGTGAAGTGAAGATTAGGGTGCAACTGGAACCTAGCATTGCATCCGGGAGCCAGTAAATTCACGGAAGCTAGGAATTAGTTAATTCCTTCCTTCCTGATTCTGCATCTAATTAGCTCTGTGATTTGGGAGAAGACATTAAACCTCTCTGGGCCTCCTTTTCATATCCATGTATGTTATGCTTGTGCATAAACATATAGTATGTGAGTATTTGGCTATTACAAAAAGAAAAGTAATTTGGACTAAACTTATAAAAATATACATAAAATACCCTTTTAATGCTTGACTCTTACTTGCACCTCACAACTGAATGATGTCTCCTGAACACGCTCCATTTGTTTCATCATAACTTGTTTTCCTATTTTTATTCATCAAATCCACAGAACCTCTTACTAACAAGAGCTATCCCGTACTACCTCATCAAATTTCTTTTTTTAAAAAAAAAAATCTTCAGAAAGTAAAGAAACATGGCATTTTACTTAGCTGGCACGTTTTTGCCACAAACACATGAACAATTTCCATTTGGCATTTTGAAATCCCGGAATAGTACAAATGAGTAGCAGGCCCTGCACCCGCCCGCTGCTGGCATGCTGGACAAGGGAGTGGTTCTCTGACTCAGTCTCACGGAGGAAAAACGTTTTCCCTGGGAGCAAGGAGATTTGTGTCTCTGACTGGGCCAGGAAGTGGTGATTGCCCTTTCTCAGGTTTCTCAATGTTTATTTGGTTTATTCAGTAAGCGACTCTGTTAGATCCTCTTTCAAAACCACAGCAAAACCAGGCATGGTCGTGGTACAATGCCTACCATGCAATCACTCTTGGAGGCTGAGGAAGGAGGATCGGAAGTTTGAGCCCAGCTTGGGCAATGTAGCGACTTAGTAAGTCCCTGTTTCAAAATAATAATAATAATAACAACAACAACAATAACAATAATAACAACAGCTCTGGGGATGTAGCACTTCAGGGCCAAGGCCCTGGCTGGATAAAATAGCAGCAGCAACAGTGGACTGAACTTGGGTAAATTCCCTGCCCTCCTTATTTCCTCCCCTAGAGGTGTGGCAGAGGAGGAGGGTTGAGAGGGTGCAGTGCGATGGATCAACACAAGGCCCCTGCTTCAGGGGCAGAAGAGACCTGTGTGGCCCACAGCACTGAGGAGCCAGGATGGCGGCTCCCCGAGCTTTCTGCAGGCTCGCAAACTCAGGCTTCCCTCTGTCTTTGTTTCTTAAGCTTCTTCTGTAGCTCCGAGCACGTTAAGGCCAGCGGTGTCCCATTTCCTCAACAGCTCTACCTCGTACCCATCCTCCCCTGATATGGCCTGGATACACTCCTCTTTGCTACCCAAAGAGCCCGGCTCACTCATTTGCGTGGTGCCAGGAAGTAAGCTCAGCCTCCGTGGGTCGGCGGGCGGCTTGTGTTAATTGTCTGGCTGCACTTTAGAAAGACGCTTTATGAATCCAAGCATTTAGGGATAAAGTGGGAGAGCGCGGATGCATGAAAGAGCAATTGGTGTTCAGTATTCACGCTCTGCTCTCTGTTAATCAAAATCAGTTACCTCATGGCTCAGCGGCTGTCTTGCTGGCTTCTTAGTATGGCTGTGTCCTAGGAATGTGGGTGGAGAACCAACATACACACACACACACACACACACACACACCACCACCACCACGGTTTGGGTGCTCATAGTTTGAAGTGTTTCCAGTTGACGTGGCACAATTCAGCACTATTTTCTCGGAGACGTTGAGTGAGCTAAGTCGTCACTTCTGTCAACGTTTGAGATCCACTCCTCCTCCCCTCCTTCTTTTCTTCTGGGTTTTAACTCAGCAAACTTTGCCCTTGCTGAAAAACCACACATTCTCTGAAACAATTCTTAAGGCTAATTATAGCATAGGCCAGATCACTTTTCAGAAGCAGTACACTTCTTTGAGAAAGTGGAAAAGAATTTTTCTCTAACTGAACAAAAATATGGCTTAGCAAAGATTTTTGAGGTCGTATTTCTTGAACTTTCAGGAGTTCAACATCTTGTATTTTTACGCATTGATTTATCTTTAAAAGCCCATGCAGTATAACCACAGGAACCTTAAAAATTATCCCTTAATTTAAAAGAAGAAAAACAGCTCTTAATTAAAAAATGTCTTTGTAGCTATACTTTCTCATGTTTTCTGCAGTGACTATGTTTTGCCATTATCATAAAAATAACAAAGGTTATGTTTTTCAAAAACCTCCCAGAAGTTGCTGAATTGTTTGTGAAACCGTCTGCCTCCTTACCTGCTTCATCTGCTAGAGAAATGGTGGTGAACGTGCTGTCCTCTTCCTCCTCTTTGCTGGTCTCGTCCATCTTGTTCAATTTTCAGCCTATTAGTGAGAAGAGCAGGAGCTGAGAAGACTAGTGGTTGCCTCCTGTGACCACTCCTGTTAAATCATTAATAAGTCAGCAGCCAAGGAGGTGCTATCTGATCCCCGGCCGCCCTCTTCCTGTTTTCCATCTGTGAAGGTCTTACCTGAGTGTTGCATTCTCAACCGGAAATGAGCAGAGACCCAAGTTAAAGAGTGACAGGTCCTTTCTTTACCTGAAGCCGAGCTTGTACGACTGCTGCTGCACCCTGGCTGCATGCCAAACCGTGGTAACAGCTTCCTTGAGCTACGTTGCCTGAGATAATGGCCCAGAAAGCATCAGGGCGAGGTTGGAAGAAGAAATTGATTTTATATGATTAACTTATCTTTTGGATACTTATGTTGAACTTCTCATGGATTTGATGAGGGTCCTAGCCTGACCTGGGGGCGTAACCTGTGCACACTATGAGGGCTAGTCTGTAGTAAGGGTTGGATTTAAAGCATGTGGCTAGTAATGTGAAACTGATAAATGTTAACCATAACAACCATCAGAGATATTGGGCGTATGTGAAGAAATAACACTTTCTACACATTGAGCTTATTGGTACCTATTCATATGATTGTGGGTGCAATCCACCCTATAAACATTCTTTAAAATGACAGTATTTCCCTTCTCTATTACTGAAGTTGAGACCAAAGGAGGGTTTTTGGCCTCACCAGACCTTAGGTCAGGTACCCTTTGTGGGAAGAAGAAATATTCTTTCACAATTGTTTTTCCTGGTTCCCTAGTTTACACTCATAAACATAGACAACCCCAGAAGTATTTTAGAATTTTAAATTAGCACTCCTTTGGGGGGAAAATCAGCCAAATTTGATGAAGCATTGTAAGCAGATATTAAAATTGAGTTGCTATATCCTATATTCTGCACTAAGTGCTTTGATTTGTGGAACTTCTTTGTGTGCTGTTACTATATCGAGCAAAATGGATGTGAGCTGTTGGAAATCTTGAATGTTAAAAATTAAAGTCACCAGAATAGAATTCCCCCTAATTTTTCAATTATATTCTACAAATGTTGAGTGCTTATTCTATATAGGCTGGGCATTTTGGAGGATTCAAAGGAAGAGATTTATTTAGTGCTATATCTTACTTTCTCATTGCTGAGACACAATACCAGACACCCATAGCTCTGAGGAATGATTTATTGGGTTCAGTTCGTGGAGGTTTCAGTCCATAATCAACTGGCTCCAAGGCAGAGTGGCACGGCAGAGGGCCATGGCAGAGGAGAAACAGCTCAAGGCTTGGCAGCAGGAAGCAGCCAGAGAAGAAGGAGGAGGGGGTAGACCCCCCTCCCTCAGTGACCGCCTCCACCAACCAGCGCTCACCTCCCAAAGTCACATTTAGCTGTAAGCTCATCAGTGAACAAACCCACTGACAAGTATCACACTCCCGTAATCTGATCACCTCCCCGAAGCCTCACCTTTGAGTGCATGGAATGGGGGGGGGGGCATCATCTAGCTATAAGCCATAATCTTCTATTAAAAAGCCTGTAAAATAATTCAAATCCAAAAGCCTTGGATATGTAGAGATGGGAAAGAGGCTGGCGGGATCTTGAAAGGTTTACAGAAGGTAACATGTGAGATGAATTCAATAACAAATGGGACGCAAGAGACAAAAACGGCCAACTAGTGAGCATCTTCTCTTTAAACGGGAGAGGCAAAAGCAAGTATTATGCACATTGGGAATGAAAAGGGCAATGAAAGATATCTGTCAGAGCTAGAAGATGGGAAACAATACAAGTCATATCCAAGAAAGCGTAAATGCTACACTGTATTAGCTCAAATCTAAGAATCAGACCCCAAGGGGCCAGGGATTTAGCTCAGTGGTTCCGCCGCCTGCTTCAAAAGTGCAAGGTCCCGAGTTTGATCCCTGGTATTAAAAAAAAAAAAACAGACCCCAAGATGGGAATAGATAGGTGACAGAAAATCAAAACGGAGGTAGGAAATGTTGCAGAATCATCAAAAACCATGATGCAAGTCTGAGGTGGAATGAAAACAAAGTAGACTAGAAGATCTAGGTGTTGCTCAGAATAAAGAATTTTGACAAGGCTATCAAAGAGTTCTTGAGCTGAAAGTGACCAGACAAGGTATCCCTGTCTCCCAGGAACAACCTCCCTTAGCATTCCCACAGCACTGAGACACGGGCTGGGAGCAGCTGGTGGAAATGAGGGCCCTGTGCAAATGTAGGTGTGGATTTTGGAGCTCAGCAGCCCGGGTCCTTAGTCAGTTGAACTCGCTGTGGTTGGAGGGTTGCAAGGCACTGGCTCACGGCCACCATAGGAGCTGCCTTTCCTAGCAACTGTGTAACCACGGCCCAGGACTGGAGGAAGGATAAACATGGTCTTTTCATTTCGTCCATTCTCTGTCAATTCTAGAAATAATAGCACCCATTTTTAAAATGCCTACCAGGTGCTAAGAAACAACTTTATGAAGTAAGTTTAAAGAATGAAGGCACTGAGGCATAGAGAGAGGGAACATAAATGCCAAAATGCCATACAATTAAGTAAGTGGTGAAGCTGACTCTTTGCCCTCTGGCTCCTATCACATTATCTATTCCTAAGAAAACTACTGAGGGGAAAAGGTTGCAAGAGATGATTTGAGCAACCTGGAAAGAGAATTCATGAAACCTAGGATTCATTTGGTTTAAATTGTGTGTTTGACTCTTACTTGTATAACTCATAGCCAGTTACACTTTTTTTAGGACTAGCCCAGGCACACAATTTTTTGACTTCTTTCTGGTATTCTTCAAAGGTATTTCTTCAAAGGTATTCAGGAGGAAGAAAAAGAGAAAAGCCAGGTCTTTCAGCATTGTTACTAGCCCCATACCAGCTGGGCAAAGTTATGGAAGAGAAGAGGCTTGCTTTTGACTTGGGCAGGGTATTACCTATGGGTTTAAATGATTCATAGTGAATATCCCTATGTTTTCTTCTACTAGTTTTATCACTTTTCATTTTAGCTCTTATATTAAGTCATTGATCCATTCTGAGTTAATTTTTATATGTAGTGCATGGATATCCATGCCTTTCCCATTATGTTTTTGGATATTTGGGGTCCCTTATAGCTGCTTAAGAATTTGAGGACTGACGTGGGTTTAGCAATGGATTCTCAGATTGACACCAAAAGGCATAAATAAGCAAATGAAAATATATGAATTGATCTTCATAAAAAGGAAAGACTTTTGCGTACACCATCAAGAATATAAACCTACAGAACAGGAAAATAGGAATGCGAAAAAGCACTTTCAGAATAGAAAAAAAATCTGCAAATCACACACACACATATATAGATATATTGTCATATATATATATATATATATATAAGGTTATGTATCATATCTGTATAGATATAGATATAGATATTGCAATCCTATTTTTTTAGATGGGAAAGGAATTTCAATAGACATTTCTCCCAGAAGGATATGTAAATGATCAGTAAGCATGTAAAAAGATATTCACATCAATGTTCATGAAAAACATGCAAATCAAAACCATAATGAGATACCATGTCACACCTACTCAGATAGCTTTAATTTCAAACAAAAACAAAACAAAAGGCGAAAGAAGTGTTGGTGTGGTTGTGGAGAGATGAGAATCTTCACACATAGCTGGTGGGACTGTAAAATGAGGCCGCCACTGTGTAAAAGTTTGATCATCCCCTGAAACAGTTAAGAGAGTTGCACTATGACCCAGCAGTTCTACTCCGAGGTGCATAGCCAAGAGACATGAAAACATACGTTCACATAGAAACTTATACCTGAATGCTTATTGCAGCACTATTCACAGAAGGTAGAAATGACTTCAATGCTCATCAGCAGATGAATGGATACATTCTGATTTATAAATTCAGTAGATTGTTATTCAACAATAAACAGGGGCAGAAAACTGAAAATACGCCACAATTTAGATGAACTTCAAAAACCTACTAAATAAGAGAAGCCAGACACAAAAAGTTACACATTGTTTGACCCCGTTTGTATGTTACATCCAGAATAGGTGAATTCATACAGATGGAAAGTAATTAATGGTTGCCAAAGAATAGAAGGGGGAAGAGGAGTCATTATTTAGCAGGCATGAGGTAGTTTCGTAGGCTGATAAAAATATTTTGAAGCTAGAGAGAGGCGGTGGTTGCACCACCTTAGTAATATACTAAAATTCAATTAATTCCACACATTATGTTTATTAAATGAATTTCATCTCAATTTTTAAAAAGATTTAAAAATTCCAGTCAGTAAAACAATTAGTCATAGCATGCCCTCTTTCTCCATGGTATGAATGAATGAATTGTTCTTATGTATTCTAAATCTAACATGCCCTGCAATTTCCAATTCATCACCTACCATATATCATAGGATTAGAAGGGCTAGAATATAGCTGCCTCAAAAGAGGTTAAGACAAAACTCACAAATCTTATATAGTCATATAGTCTTTGTTAAACAGGGTCTGAAACCCTAAACAGTGGGGTCAATGTGGTTACATAATCAATCACTTCCCCTCGTTCTTTAGAGTGGGGAGTGTGAGATATAAATCTGTGTGCCCCACCCCCGCGTCTGATATAAGTATGTGTTAATGGGCACTTGAGGTAGCAGAAATAGGGAAAGTGCAAAATGAGATTAGTAAATTAATTCATTTTCTCACCCTTCCTTCATCACAGTCTCCAAGTATTGGTATCAGTAACGAAGCACATTGGAAGCCAGTGTTTGCTATGGGCTTTCTCAGGAGTTTTTCTGAGCAACAACCAAAGGAAAATCTCTAAGAGCTCTGAGTACCAATTCTGGCATCTGAAGTGTATGTAATCAGGGGACTCCTGGAGAGAAACTGCCATCTCTAAAGAAGGCGCTAAGCACGCCTTTTTAATATCCAAGGTTCTCTTTCTTTGGGAACAGTTTCACATGAAACTATTTGAATATTTTTTGACAAATTAGTGCAAATTGGATTGACTCAGCCCATTACCTCCAAAGGAAG